GGGGGGGGGCAACAGTGGGAGGGCTTCTAGTGTCCGGGCCTCACTGCTGGACCTCCTGATGGCACCTGGTATTTTTGGCCACTGTGTGACAGAGTGTTGGACTGCATGGGCCATTGGCTTGATCCAACATTGGCTTCTCTTATGTTCTTATGTTATGTTAAGATGCTTGCTCATTCTTCGTCTTGCAGTTGGAATTGAAGCTAGATAATCCAGTTGAGTCTATACAGGTAGAGGAATGCAGAGGCACTCCGAGTGAACGCTGGCACTTCGGCTGGCAAGTGGGGAGTGCTGTTTTTGAACACTCCTCTGGGTAAAGAAAACATTCTGCCAGGACCAGTGCATCAGAGGGGAGAAAGAGTCTATGACACTCTTTGTTGTACACATTTTGTTCTTGTGGTGAATTTTTTTAAACCAAAAAAATGGTTCAAAATGTGACTTCCTCTCCACCCATGTGAACAAAATAGGAAGTGATGCGATTAGGCTCGCGAACTCTGGTTTGGGGAATTGTTCAACATTTGGGGGTGGAGCCTTGGGAGGATGGAGTTTGGGAAGGACAGGGAACTCAGCAGAGTTTAAAGTCCACCCTCTGAAGGAGCCACTTTCTCCAGGAGAACTGATCTCTCTAGTCTGGAGACCGGTTGTAATCCTGGGAGATCTCCAGGTCCCAGCTGGAGACTGGCAACCCTAGATGCGATGTATTCATTCTACCACCTTGGGACCTAATGACCACTTTCCAGCCTGGTTCTGCTGCAAGTGTCAACCGTTCCTCAGCTGCAAGTTATGGACTGTAGATCTTGGAGTTGGGTATATTCATAATTCTGCAAGGCCAGAAGTTCGTATCAGGCATGTAATTTATTGTGATGAGTTTCTTTGTAAGGCCTAAACCAGGTGCCAGTCCTCAGGGATCCCAGAGCTAAGCCAGCAGGTCTACCCAGGGAGCCTTATATAATCATACTTTATAGCATTTATACACGGCATTTATTTTAGAGAGCTGGTTTGGTGTAGTGGTTAAGTGCGCGGACTCTAATCTGGGAGGACCGGGTTTGATTCCCCACTCCTCCACTTGCACCTGGCTGGATGACCTTGGGCAAGCCATAGTCCTGGCATAGCTGTTCTTGGAAAAGAGCAGTTTGTGTCAGAGCTCTCTCAGCCTCCACCTCCCTCCCAGGGTACCTGTTGTGGGGAGGGGAAGGGAAAGGAGTTTGTAAGCCGCTCTGAGACACCTTTGGGTAGTGTGAAGGGTGGGGTATAAATCCAATCCTCCTCCTCCTCCTCCTCCTCCTCCTTCTGCTTCTTCTTCTGCTGCTGCTGCTTCTTCTGCTTCTGCTTCTGCTGCTTCTTCTTCTGCTTCGTCTGCTTCTTTGTCTGCTTTGTCTGCTTTGTCTGCTTTGTCTGCTTCTGCTTCTTCTGCTTCTTCTGCTTCTTCTGCTTCTTCTGCTTCCTCCTCCTCTTCCTCCTCCTCTTCTTCTGCTTCTGCTTCTTCTGCTTCTGCTTTATCTTCTTCTTCTGCTTCTGCTTCTTTTGCTTCTTCTTCTTTTGCTTCTTCTTGACAACTGTAAGGCCGATCTGTATAAACAGTGCCATGTCGCAGATAGAAAAGGACTGAGACAGAGCAAAAGAGGCATTCCTACGGCCATCTGGCGTGTTAGGGGGCACCAGCGACTCTGTTTCTTGGCTGCCAGACTTCACAGTGCCCGTCTCTTTGCTCTTGCAGGTGGACAGTGGTACAAACGGCACCTGACCTACCGGGTGGTGAACTGGCCCTGGTACTTACCCCAGCAGCAGGTCCGTCTGGCGGTGAAGGCGGCTTTTGAGCTCTGGAGCAATGTCTCCTCCTTGGTGTTCTGGGAGGCCACGAGTGACTCTGCAGACATTCGCCTGACCTTCTTCCATGGGGATCACAATGACGGCACGGACAATGCCTTTGACGGGCCAGGTGCGGACTCCGCCTTCCTCATAGGCTCCTCCCACTCCTCTAGCTACCCTCCCAGACCTGCGTACCCATTCCTGACCTGCAGCTCTGGATTTCTCTTTTCATTCGAGATACTCAGTTACTGTTACCACCTGTCTCAAGGCCCTCTAGCACAGTTTCATCCCATCCTTTCACCAAGGTGCTCAGTGTGGCCTACGTGGTTTGCCCTTCCAGTTTGGTGTAGTGGTTAGAAGCATGGACTCTAATCTGGGAGAACTGGGTTTGAGTCCCCACTTCTCCACATGCAGCTGCTGCTGTGACCTTGGGTAAGTCATGGCTCTCTCAGAGCTCTTCTCTCAAGAGCAGTTTCTGTCAGAGCTCTCTCAGCCCCACCTACCTCACAGGGTATCTGTTGTGGGGAGGGGGAAGGGAAAGGAGATTGTAAGCCGCTCTGAGACTCCTTTGGGTAGTGAAGGGTGGGGTATAAACCCAGTCTCCTCCTCCTCCTCCTCTTTTAATCTACAAAACCACCCTGCAAAGAAGGCTAGGATGAGTGAGAGTGTGACGGGTCACCTAAAAGCTTCCTGACCAAGGGTCTAACTACCCAATGCATTTTCCTGGCGTCCATTCCAGATCTGTGCAGTCAGATGTCCGCTGTGAGTTCTGCCCTGAGAACTTAATCCCCAGGCATGTGTGGGCCCGATTCAGGGTGGAACTGTGACATACGGGCTGTTTTCCCGAGCTGAAATGGACCTGGGGGGGAGCCACCATGAGCCCTGTTTGGGGAACACCCATGTGCTGATGGGCTGCACATACGTTCTCCCAAAGTGCCAAAGACCTATAGTTGAGGAGACGGGGAATCTCTGCCAGTCATGCTAGAGAAGGTGGACCTGGATAAGTCAATGGATAAGTCCCAGGCAGCTCCGTTTGTTCATGCATGGGCTTGGATGTGCAGATCAGGATTGGGCATTTGCATTTGATGCAGCAAGCAGTTGGGAGTCATGGAAGGGGACTGCGGAGGAGGGCGGGGCCTGAGCTGCAGCAGTCATCGCACAGCATCTCCGTGGCACTTTTGAAGTTCAGAGTGCCTTCAGGTACACTAAGCCTCACAGCTTGACCTCACAAAGGTCAATTATAACCACTATGTTACATTACAGAGACACTGGCCTGGATAGCCCAGGCTAGCCAGATCGCGGAAGCTAAGCAGGATTGGCCCTAGCTAGTATTTGGATGGGAGAGACTTCCAAGGAATACCAGGGTCGTGACGTGGTGGCAGGGGATGGCAAGCTACCTCCGAACATCTCTTGCCCTGAAAACCCTGCGGGGTTGCCATAAGTCAGCTGTGACTTGACATCCCTTTCCACTGTCTTGCAGATGGAGCACTGAGCTTAGAGAGGCTTGTCGAAGGCAAATCAGTGAGTTCATAGCAAAAGGGAGGTCTGAACAGGGAGCTTTGAGACGTGAGTTCATTCCTTTAGCGACTCCAGTGCAGCGATTCCCTGGAAGTGAATTACTTTTTACAGGGCTCTTTTTGTAGAAAAAGCACAGCAGGAACTCATTAGCATAATAGGCCACACCCAACAGCAGAAACTCATTAGCATATTAGGCCACACCCCTGACAGCACAGCTCATTGGCATGTTAGGCCACACCCCCATGTTACCAGAAGTGTGCTCATCCAGCCACACCCACCTTTTGCTTCTTATTCTGTTAATCTTGTTTGTTTTCCAAACCCAGGGCTTTTTTGTAGCAGGAACTCCTTTGCATGTTAGGCCACACACCCCTAATGTAGCCAATCCTAATGAGTTTCTGCTGTTGGGTGTGGCCTATTATGCTAATGAGTTTCTACTGGGTGTGGCCAACTTGGGAGCTAGCCGGAACTCCGTTCTAGCCGGAACTCCTGCCCAAAAATAGCCCTGCTTTTATAGCTAGAATAGGTTACCGAATTCCCCCATTCCCTGCCAGCCCCGTGAGTTTCTTCTTCTTTTTTGCATGACTGCAGAACCGTGAAAAAGAGAACCGTGGGTGGCATTTTTGTTAACACCAAGGGCAGTTTCCAGCACGGCCCTCATGGCTTTTAACGGCACCTGATCTTTTCCTCCAGGAGGCGCATTGGCGCATGCCTTCTTCCCACGCCGTGGCGAGGCCCATTTTGACAATGACGAGAGGTGGTCGCTGGACAGCAGCAAGGGCCGCAACCTCTTTGTAGTGGTGGCACATGAGATTGGGCACACGCTGGGTTTGGAGCACTCCCCAGTGCGCAGCGCGCTGATGTCGCCGTACTACAAAAAACTGGGCAAGGATTTTGTCCTCAGCTGGGATGACGTGCTTGCGATCCAGAATTTATATGGTGAGTGTGGTTTTCTTGTATTCACCTCTCACTAGGGAGAGGGGCATTTGAATACACACACATGACACTGCCTTATCCTTCACCTGACAGGCTCCCTCCCTGTGCATTTTGCATTTTATTTTATTTTCATATTCTGTTTATTAAATTTTCAACAAATTTTCCTCACTCGAAGTGAGACAAACTAACACACCACAAATGTACATATTTACAGAGATCTCCCATCATATAACATAAATAATTCCATATTTGGCACTCATATAATAGAGTTACCTTAATTTGAACCCAAACTTGACTCTTTCAACCAATCATAAAAAATTTTCCAGTACTTCTCATACTTTTTCTGGTTTCTCTCTTCCACAATATAGGTTAGTTTCTCCATTTCTGCGATGTAAAATCGTTTACTAATTATCTCCTCTTTAGAAGGAATACTTTCCTCCTTCCATCTTTTTGCGAATACAATCCTCGCTGCTGCATTTTGCATTTTACAGCTTGCCTGCCATTGAGAGAGGAGGTTCCTCTCTCTCTCTCTCTTTGATGTGCCTAGGGCTTGTCACGTTAGCAATGCCAAATGTCCTGGCTTCTCAAATGTCTGTGATCCTGTTTTCCTTGCTATGTAGAGGCTACATGCCTATTGGGGCGGGGGGGGGGGGGGAGCTGTCTGTTAATTCTGGTGGGCAAATACCATGGAGTGATTGGGTCCAATGTTCCCTCTAAGCTGTGGAGTCCTATGAGCAAAAATTCTACTTTGTGAGCTCCTGGCATTAAAGTTGTGAGCAAGTGATTTGGTTACTGCATAAATCAGTTTGCTCTGGAGCCGTCCTTCCTGAGCTACGACAAAAATGTATGAGCTGGAGGCTAAAAAACTGTGAGCTAGCTCACACTAACTCAGCTTAGAGGGAGCAGTGCGTCCCGATCTTTAGTGCCTTTACTTGAATCTACCATATCTGCAACCTTCACGCACGTTCAACTTCAGTACTAACAACAGATGTGTCTAGGATGGTATCTATCGACTGTCTCAATAAAGTTAGCTTTCTTCAAACTGGCTGGTGTTGACAACCAGTGTTGTCTACTCAGGCTGGCAATGGCTCTCCAGGGTCTCAGGCTGAGGCCTTTCACATCTCCTGCTACCAATGCTCCCTCTAAGCTGTGGAGTCTTGTGAGCAAAATTTCTACTTTGTGAGCCGCTGGCATTAAAGTTGTGGGCGAGTGATTTGGCTGCTGCATAAATTAGCTTGCTCTGGAGCCCTCCTTCCTGAGCGAAAACTAAAATGTGTGAGCTGGAGGCTAAAAAACTGTGAGCTAGCTCACACCAACTCAGCTTAGAGGGAACACTGCCTGATCCTTTTACCAGGAGATGTCAAGGATTGAACCTGGGACTTTCTGCCTGCCAAGCAAATGTTCTACTCCTGAGCCACAGCCTAAAATGTTTCCACATACGTCCTCAAGCTTGACGTCTCTAAGCAATTTTAAAGTTGGGGATGAGACTTTGATTGGTGAAAGACCAAGGAGGATCCTCTTTTTATCACCGAAAAAGCTATGCTGGAGATGTTGGAAACCTGACAGGGCTATTTTTGGGCAGGAACGCACAGGAACGGAGTTCCGGCTGGCTCCCAAGCTGGCCACGCCCAGCAGGAACTCATTAGCATCATAGGCCACACCCAACAGCAGAAACTCATTAGGATTGGCTACAATTAGGGGTGTGTGGCCTAACATGCAAAAAGCCCTGGGTTTTGACAACAAACAAGGTAAAGAGAATAAGAACCAATAGGTGGGTGTGGCTGGATGACCACACTTCTGGCAACACGGGGGTGTGGCCTAATATGCAAATGAGCTGTGCTGTCAAGGGTGTGGCCTAATATGCTAATGAGTTCCTGCTGTTGGGTATGGCCTTTTATGCTAATGAGTTCCTGCTGGGCTTTTTCTGCAAAAAGAGCCCTGGGAAACCACATTTAATGCCAAGAGGGACAGAGGCAGTGAAGAGGGGAAGGCCCTGGGCAAGGTGAAGTGGAAAAGCTGGGAGGATTCAACCTGGTGCGAAGAGAGAGAATTCTTTCCCCTCATGGGTCCCTCAGAATTCTTCCATGAAGTCCTTTTCCTGGTAGGCAGCCTTTGATTTAACGTAATGTCTCTTCGGCAGGGAAGCCTCCCTGGGGCGCCACAGTCCAGCTCCCGGGGAAGGTATTCGCTCGTTTCCAAGACTGGAGCCAAGATATTGAAGGCAGGGAGCGCCAGGAAGGAAACCACACAGCCCATTACTGCCGGTCATTTTTCGATGCCATAACCATAGGTAAGAGCTGGTGAATCAGCTTGCCAAGGATGTCTCTAATGTCGGGGGGAAAGAGACAATGCTAGAAACTGAAAAGGACCAGGTTTGAATCTTGACTCTTCCTAGGGTTCCCAAATCCCCCCGGGGGGCGGAATTCCCCCCAGTTTCGAGCCCTGATTCCCGCTCCCACGGAATCGGGGCCCGGGGGAAACCCCACCCCCGCGTGTGCGTCACCTGGAAGTGACATCGCACGCTGGGGGCGGGGCGACGCCATTTGAGGGGAAAACAAAGAGTTTCCCCCTCAAATGGCGTCGCCCTGCCCCAGCGTGTGACGTCACTTCCGGTGACGCTCCGGAAGCGCGCGCGCACGTCCCCGGCTGGCTCCCGGAGCGACAGGATGCTCCCCCGCCGGTAAGATTTTTTGATTTGGCAACCCTAACTCTTCCACAAGCTCACCAGGTAGCCTCAGGGAAGCCATTTTGTCTCTCAGCTTCAAGCCCCGATAATGATACTGGCCTGTTTGGCAGAGGGTTGTTTAGGGATTACAAGAAGATATGGGAAACACTTTAAAGTAGAATTGTCAAGGAAGTCAGCTAGTTGACCCCGCAAGTTCCCAGGGCAAGAACACATAAGTAATCAGACTGATGTTCTTTTTTTTTAATAATAATAATAATAATAATGTACAGTTACTCATGAATTTCACATGGGACTAACAATGCTGGGGGTAAGGGAAGACAACATATATCAATTAAATCACACACATATTTATAAAGTTTATTGGAAGAATAGACAAGTTGATAATATCGGAAGAATAGACAAATTGAAACAGAGTATTGGAGGTTCTGTGGCTGGAGGTTTTTTTTTTCAGTGTTGGGGCACAGATTACCAGCTCTGGATGGGAGTGCCTTTGACACTGGCAGAACCCGTCAAGAGCTTGAGAGTGATTTTGGATCCCTCCTTAAATATGGAGGCCCAATTTGCTCAGACTGCCAAGCTAGCATTTTTTTCATCTACGCCAAGCTTGGCAACTGGCCCCTTTCCTGTTGCGCCCTGACCTGGCCATGGTAATCCACGCAACAGTCACCTCCAGATTAGACCAGGGGCCATTTCCTGCAGGAGCGCACAGGAGCGGAGCTCCGGCAGTAAAGAGCCCAGGGGGCGGGCACATGCAACAAGCCCCACCCCCTGCTCCCAGCAGCCCTCAGTCAGAGCAAGAAGAAGCCAGGTAAGTTGCAGAGCCACATCCCCCAGGCCTCCCTCACCAACACAG